CGGCTGTCTACTCCGAGAAAGTCCCCTCGACTTTTCAGCGTTTCTTTGTCTACACGCACTCCCCTCCATGCCAGGGGCTCAGTACCTGGCGGTTACTCACCTGTTGTTCAAGTTCTCTTTGAGCGAACGCAGCTGACTGAATTCGTGCTACAAATCTCTCGATGTCGTCAAAGCATCGGTTGAGTGTGTTCTGTAAGGGCATTAAACTTTAGGAGTTTCAGGCAAAAGTAACAACTACGTATGGGAATAGACTTACAACATCTCGTTCAAATAACTCCGAATTGTCACCTTGGAAAGAGCCATCATCAGTTGGATACTGTAGGAAATCTGAAAAGAATATTTTATATTATGGTGAACAGCATTCCAAAAGAATTCTATTGCTTAGATATCCAAAGCTATCCATCCTATTTTCATAAGGGTGCACATGACACTCGGCAACTTTCAGTTTTTGACATAATCAAGCCGTGCTCATCATAGAGAACAAGTTGTACGCGTAGATCTTCGCATAAGCTCGTTGACGATTCTCCGAGGTATAGCTCGAGGTACCCTTTCAAGTCGTGAAGCGGAAGTATTGGTTGGGAATAGTGCATCAACGGTGAAGAGAGCGAGAAAATCGCCGGTTTTTTGCATAAATGAGGCTCCTCAAGTGTGGTGAAACTAGAGCTCGTACGAGATTGCCATGACGGAAATGACGTGGGAGCGGTATTTGGACGAGATTTCAGTTGTCGCAATTGCGCGAAGAGCCGACTAAATCTCGAAAAAACAGTCGAGGATTGCCTTCCACTGTCGCTATGAGTCATGACAAGTTGTTTGACTTTCCTACATGGATTCTTTTGTGAATGGCGCAACCAGTACAACGACGTAAAACTCGTCCACTTTTGGTGTGGCATACAGCCTATGCAATCTTTGAGCCATTATGACGCCTCGTTTAGGCCGTTCTCGATCAGACTGCGACACATATGCTATAAGGGTGGGTCAGAGATTCACTTTGCCGGATACCTAAGGAATAATTTTTATGGTGAACTGTACCAGTAAAGAAGAGTGATGAGGTTTTTGGTCTTCTCATAAGAATGAACGCCAGCAGAAGGCCTGGGGCTCCGAAGGTAATAGGTTTTGGATGAACGAAAGTTTGCAGCAAGAGTTTTTTCGAAAATGGTTGATGAGAATCGCGCTGCTGATGACGTTTTGATGATGAATATCTCCCAAATCGTAACTAATGACACACAGCCACCAAACTATCGATCACTTCGAAGGTAAAGACGCATGGCTGGCTAATCTGGACGATTACAATGTGAATGATAGGATATATTGTTGGCTCACCTGATGGAAGACGTACTGGTTGGCCGGGCCCGCTATTTCGTCGACCATTTCGGACCTTTTTGAATTGTCCACGAATGTACCACTGAAGGTCGTCGGCGACTTCGGTTGCAGCCACTCGATTGCACTGTAATCAATACGTACTTCTACCATATCTCTACTGATGACTAATATCGATTTTGATCAATCGATTCGAGCCAAGTGGCACTTATGAAGCTCTGGTACCCCCACTCAACCATGGAATTCAAGGAATTCAAAGCCTACACAAAGAGAAATCACGCAGTACAACAAACGAGGTTTCGAAGTAATCGGAAACTTCTTTGATTACAATTTACTGGTCGGAGGTCCCTCCTGAACCCCTGAGTTCAAAATCTAAAAATCCATTCAAAATCCACTACGATACCTGTACTGGTGCTCTCATCATTGCTGACCAGAACCCCTGGCCTCTCTCATGGGAGACCTTCTCAATGTTAAGGAATTCAAAATCTTCTTGAAGTTCTCCACGGCCCTACGGTGTTGCTTTGTCGCAATGAAAAAATAACTTTTCAGAACTTCTTTTCATTTCAGATTACAATAGTAAGTCATATGGTTACCGCATCTAAGCTAACAGAAGGAAGCGGTTCCTCGAAGTCACGAATTCCACCCCACTGCCGCCGATTTTTTTTAATCATTCGAAAAAAAAGGTTGAATACCTGGAAGATGTGCATCTCGGTAGGTGTGGCCGATCTCTTATTACGTGTATCTTCGCGAACTATGAATAATAAGATATTGTTGTAGGTGTCACGAGGATCACTAGACACATGTGCCGTTGGTTGTTCTATCAAATTCAGTGGAAACTGCTCGACTAGGTCCTGAAAAGAAGAGCTGTTTGATGATTGATTTGATGTTTGGTACTGCTGTTATATCGCCGCAGTACACGTTCCGAAAGTCGCACAAGGTTGGCGATTTAGCCTGGAAGGCACAAATACGGGTTCGAGTTCCGTCCAAGACTGAAGTTTTTTGCATAAATCTCCAACCTTGTGAGAATAGCTGTATTGCTGCCATGGAATTCGAATGTAATAGAACTTCATTTCATATAAAAATAAAGTTTGCCACTATTTCACTGAAACTGAAGCTCTTTTACGATCGCTTCATCAGCAGTGACTTACCAACAATATCTAGTACAATTACAATAGTCATAAAAACTATTTTGTAAGACAATTTCGACGCTTTCATGAAAACTTGATAAAGCAATTTCAAGTTTTAAATCAGTTCAGAAGAATTTCAAACGAATTCTCATGACTGCCGATTACTCACCCCGTTTTCATCCTCTACAGTGACACCATTCTGTCGGAACCTGAGCACCAACGGTTGAGCCCAGATGGCTGAATTCTTTTCCATTTGTTTGAGCTTGCGAATACCATCAGCAGGGAATGTGAGCCCAAATTGGCGTCCAACAGCGAACGTGGCCAAATGCTCGACATAATACGAAGGTGTCACGTCATCGATACGAGATCCCATAACTGAACGTGGCGCTAAATGAAGTACAAGATCATCAAGAGCACAAGATGGCAGGCACTGGTTGGCGCTAGCCGACAAGCAAAACGTCAAGAAGCCGGTTATCGAGCGAGTGATGCAGCTAGCGCTGTTACTGTACAGTTACTAGTCATTACCACTGACAAAACAAAATAAGCTTGCTGTGTGGTCTCGGCCGGAATCGATTTCGTCGGGGTAAAACAAAACCCTTTCTAGCGCTTTTACGGGACCGTGCGGCTGAGATCGAGAGCACAATAGCTCCTCTACGGATTATTTACAAAACAATGATCAATCGAGGATTACAGAAGAGTAGAAGAAATGCTATAAGATGCTATGAGAGGAATTAAAATCCATTTATTACAAAGATTGGCTTATGGTTTTTCAACAGTAATATCGGCACCACCTCCGGTTGCGATGCACTAACACCCAGCTCATGGACGTGCTTGGCCCAGAAATGATTGATAACAGCGATCAATAGCTAATAAACGGAAAGTCCCGAATCGCAACTCGCCAAGGCTAAGTTACCCTTCGTCGCTGTAGTAACAAACATCATCTACGGGAAACCAGATTCCGAGAAAACCAGTCGTCGCGACGGGGTAGCGGTATCAATAAGTACTTCTGAGGTGTACCCTGGAGAAAAGATAAGGTATTTAAAGAAAAATCAACTCACGTGCAGCGTTTGACATATCGTGATAGGGCATATGTGTTTGGGAAGGATGTCGATGTGAACTCGACGGTGACGGAGCACTAGAGGGGGGTCCAGCTCCCACACGAGAGTAGTAGTACCCCCCGGAAATAGGAGGCCTGAAATAAATGAACTTATTGGAATAACATTTCAAATATCATAGCTAACGGGGTTCAGTATGGTCACCCCATGCAAGGGACAAAGAATTTTGAAATGATTTTTTATTAGGGTGATAGTAATGTCGCACAGGCAGTGTGGTATGAGCTGGTGGAGAAATGGCGAAGCGATAAGCGAGCTGTAACGACTGTTTGGCGCCTGCTTGAAACGTCACCAACCATATAAGGGAAAAACTTCTATAAAGCTCTTTTCAGACCCCACCACTTGAGTGCAGCCCAATGAAGAACGTCTCGATCGATACCCATGGAAAAATGCATGAGCGGTGAATGAAAATGTGTCTTTTGAAAGAAATTTTCTTTTTTTTNNTTTTTTTTTCCGGGATTAGGGCTGAGCTATCAGTGAAAGTAGGAAGAGAACGTGTAGTCTTCGTCTGATTCCTGTTTCTTTCATCAACCACAGCAGCCAAGAATGAGAGAGAGAAATTTTCGATAAGCCATTTGCCTGCCTGTCGAAATCAATTGAACTCACTTCTGATAAGCGTCGTTGCCTCGTCGCATTCTCTTTAAAGGAATCTGACGGACATCTCTGAAAGCAACATTCCATCAGCCGATGATTTCTAGCCATCATACACTGCAGGCGATTCAATGATTCAACAAGATCTTCGAACGGTAGACGATAGGAGGTTGGAAAACATGGAAGGTGATTCATCGAGGCCTGTTTGGATGGAAATGGCAATATCAATTCACCAGAATGCATCGTTTCCAACCGATGAACCGATCACCCTGGATACGACTTCAACAGCTTGGCTCGGCTATTATTTCGCTACGAAATCGAATTGACTCAATTTATACAACAGAAGATAATAGAGAAAACTCGTCCAGATTTAGAATTTCTGATAAGAGGGCGCTCAATGTCCATCATCCATTCTGGGACTAGGCTTACAGTTAGTATCCCCCCCCCTCCCAAGCCCCCATCCCAGCCTCTATAATTCCACTTCAGCCCCAGTTTCATCAATTCAGCAGAGTGCATGATGTCCTGTTTTTTTTTTGCTTCCTTTTATATCCATATATGCCATTAAACGCACTGCAAATTTCTTCCCGTCTGATTAACAAGCGATAGGACACTATAAGGTTCGATCCACCTGGGAGGGGTTCAGTTGGAGAATAGCCCACATTATAGCGATAGGACATCGCTATAATGTGGGCTATTCTCCAACTGAACTCCTCCCAGGTGGATCGGACCTTTCAATTGTTCTTAATCAAACCGCTGGTATCAGACTTGCGCTGGATTATGAGGCATAGCCCTAAACAGTAACCGCCAGTAACCGAGCAAGTATGGCTGGGTTTCATTAGAGACGTTTTGAAAAATGGACTGTGTTGCGAAAGAATAGGCTCGTTACTGTACGGCTCGCAGACAGTGGAAAAATGAAAGTGGCTAATCCATAATTTCGATCAATATTTACCGAAGTCATTGCCTACTGTACAAAATGTTGGATTCAAAGAATGACTTAGGAATTTGAAAGTTCATTGCTATTGAAAGCTATCAAGCGGAACAATCGGTGGTTTGTTGTCGAATGCGCCATAATGTGCACGACGGTAATCGCTGCACATATTTATGGAATAGGGCTGTATAAATACATCTTTCAAGAAAAAAAGTAAAGATTGGTCCCTTCAAATGAAAGAAGTATCAGTTGTTGTGATTTGCCATCAGGAACAACAGGTAGTAGGTTCTGCAAGTAGGAGCGCTCAGAAAATGGGAAAAATTCGCGAAAATTGAGTTTTAAACTGATAGATTATAAAAGTGACAGGATTGCACTTTAAAGCAAGGTCTTCCTCAAAAACGTATCGATAGGTGGCACAGTTCAAATCCCCTTCAGTGCTACATAGTCTCTGTTTGCTATTTGAGTAACTAGTAGCATCAACATGACGATGATCAAACAACTGATTTATTACACCTACAGTATGATCCCTCCCATCCCAGTAATTTGATTTCTATCGAAATTCTTTGAAAGCCCTTTAGTATTTGGAACTCGGCAAATGAACATGATCAGAGTGTAGATCCATGAACATTTCATGAGGAATGTACTGGTAAAAAAGGTTGACAATCTCACCAGGCAGGGCGTGACTGGATGATAAGGAATGAAAGGAGCTGTGGTAATCAGACATATGCCTTACTGAGTCAACAAATTTAATGAGGTGACGAATCGGCCACGGTGCTTACCACGGTACCTTTGTTCCACAAGACCGTTTTCTCCCTGAATAAAGACTCATTTCCAAAAGGCTTTTCTGCCTTCTGCATCAAGTCCAAGTAGAAATTTTCACTAAAATATCTCACAAGGTTAGGCCTTGACTATTCAATAATACATGAAAAGCCATGGTCTTGAAAAAAGCTGATAATATGGTTTCTTAAACTAAATTAATCATCAGCTCTGTCGCCGAGGCACAGTAAAAGGTGAAGAGGATTCGGTTTTGATTCTCCAACTTTACAGCGACTCGTCGGATTTGTTGAGTCTAATTGAGCGTGGAAAGTAGCGTTTCCAACCCAATCTCATAACTCGTCCAAGCTTCTGACGAGAATAGCTAGATTGAAGAGAAAGAGAAATCGACATTTCATAAGTGGTACCATTACAGCAAGGGAACTCTCGGGGCTAGAGCACTTTAGGGTGTCCCGGAAAGTCGATCAACAGCAATTTTTCCCGGAATTGAATGGCATAAGAAAACAAAAACAAAGAAATCTTGAGTGAAGGTTGCAGCGGCCTTATCGTACCTAACAAGAATACTTAGAATATATCTAGCTGCGTTCACCTGGAACGACTCGAAGGATCAGTTTTTCCGAAGGAATTCTGGGGATGAGCGAAGGCAACCAATATCAGTTGTGTAATGTTGAAATCGACGTGAGCCGCCTATATTTACATGTACTGCTCTCATATGGGAGTTTTACGTTATATGTGGCTAACCAGCTTATGCTGTCGTTGCTAGGCAGCACAATAACTGCGACGAAATCTTCAGTTAGTACAGTCCGTCCGATTACTTCTTGCTTTCCCTAGGGGCCGATTCCTCGAAGAATTCTCTCTTGTTACTTTCATGTCTTTACTCCGCTTTGGCAACGTACTAGAACACGAATCAAGCGAAATTCTTTGAATACACAGGAAGTTTGCACTGCAATTGAGTGCGGCTTTTCCCGGTGTCGCTTTTATCCAGCATGGGGATGAGCCGAGATGTGGTGCAGTGACAAGTGACGCATTATCACATAGACATGGTTTGGGTACCGAATAATTGCTCGATAATCGCCAAGGCAACCAGGTCCTTGAAGAGCTCTATCCCTTCGTACTAGAATAGAAGGACTGACTTTCTGGCTGGCTAGTTCAAGCCAATGTATAAACCTCATATCAACTCAAAAGGCCTATACAATCTGGACGGAAGTCGATGCGGGAGCGCGTCCCAAAACTGGGCTGATTAACGCCCACGACTTCAGCTTATTTGCTTCCTTTACCTTCGACATGACCTTTGGCAGTTCTTCCCATACCCATGGAATGCTCCGTGCGTTGAACATCCATTCAGAATCAAAATCGTAGAAGCATTTGACTTAGGAGTTCCGTTTGAGCTCTTTCGATACTATTTGCTCTAAGGCGGAGGGATGAAAGCCTGGATTGGTTCGGGGCGGTGTCAAACTAGGGTCTGGCCACTAAACGATACTTAACATAGCTGCTACAACTGTCACGACAACCACTTTTCCACCAAATACTTAAAATCTAAAAGCGGACGAACAACAAACGAGCACATCGACAAACAGAAATGAATTTACGGTTTGTCTGAAGTATGTGAGGATTCCTTTGCTGCTTGGCGTTTACAAAGGGACTCGCTTCAATAATGGGAGACATTCCGGCAGTTGTAATTCCTTAGTGGGCAACCTTATCAACAATTTTTTCTAATATTGATGACAAAGATAAGTTTGGGGGCTGTCACAGTGATGGACAAAAATTATGAGAGATGCGCAGTAATTCGAGTAGGGAAAAAAATACGAAGCGAGCATAGCGTTCCAAGAAAGGACTGGACATCGTCAAACCACTTTTTACTTCTAATTAGGGAAACCGGTTGCGGAAGCTCGTCACTAAAGGAATGCCACACACAGATTGGGGAAATTCTTCTTTCTAACTACTCAAAATGGTGGTCACACCGTAAATGGACTGCAATACTTCGTTGGGTCGGAAACGTTGCGAGTTTCCGCAGACGACGACAAGATTCTAGTCCATCGTAACCAAATGAAACTTATTCCCGCTTACGCGATCATTAAGCAGGCGTTAAGAGAGAGATCGGGCGAGAAGTCGTAAACAACCATGTCAACAAATGATTTATGGTAACAGGCAAGCCAGCTACTAGGGTAATTCGATAAGCCAAGTCACTCATTATTCAGTTAGAATTGAGAATTACTAAGCTGACCGTCAACTGTGAACCTAGCTGTACGACAAGAAATGTTAAGACGTACCGTATCGACATGACCTTGGCCAGACCTTCTACCACCTATATGGAATACGCCGTACATTCAGCATAAATTCGGAATCAAAATCGTAAAAGCGTCTGACTAGGATTCCAGCACATCGAAGACGTACATTTAGGCCAAGCACTGCAGTAGCTATTCCCCCAGGTGCTGATGGTAGCAAAAGCCCGAACGTTCCGGGTCTGAGGTCATCGCTCCGAATGCAAACACGATAAAACCGATTATCCTGTCGAAAAAAGTAGAAAAAGGAACTGTTCAACACTTTGTAACCCTTTGGTGACGCATCCCATAACCAGCTCCCATTCACCATTGAAAATCATTCAAATACGTTTTTAAAGGTGTACCAGTGATACATGAAAAGTTACATGAATCAATGGATGATTGATC